GTGGTGGGTGAGTGTTGTCAATGAGTAGGTGTGGTGGGTGAGTGTAGTCAATGAGTAAGTGTGGTGGGTGAGTCTAGTCAATGAATAAGTGTGGTGAGTGAGTGTAGTCAATAAGTGTGGTGAGTGAGTGTAGTCAATGAGTAAGTGTGGTGAGTGAGTGTAGTCAATAAGTGTGGTGAGTGAGTGTAGTCAATGAGTAAGTGTGGTGAGTGAGTGTAGTCAATGAATAAGTGTGGTGAGTGAGTGTAGTCAATAAGTGTGGTGAGTGAGTGTAGTCAATGAGTAAGTGTGGTGAGTGAGTGTAGTCAATAAGTGTGGTGAGTGAGTGTAGTCAATAAGTGTGGTGAGTGAGTGTAGTCAATGAGTAAGTGTGGTGAGTGAGTGTAGTCAATAAGTGTGGTGAGTGAGTGTAGTCAATAAGTGTGGTGAGTGAGTGTAGTCAATAAGTGTGGTGAGTGAGTGTAGTCAATAAGTGTGGTGAGTGAGTGTAGTCAATGAGTAAGTGTGGTGAGTGAGTGTAGTCAATAAGTGTGGTGAGTGTAGTCAATGAGTAAGTGTGGTGAGTGAGTGTAGTCAATAAGTGTGGTGAGTGAGTGTAGTCAATGAGTAAGTGTGGTGAGTGAGTGTAGTCAATGAATAAGTGTGGTGAGTGAGTGTAGTCAATAAGTGTGGTGAGTGAGTGTAGTCAATGAGTAAGTGTGGTGAGTGAGTGTAGTCAATAAGTGTGGTGAGTGAGTGTAGTCAATGAGTAAGTGTGGTGAGTGAGTGTAGTCAATAAGTGTGGTGAGTGAGTGTAGTCAATGAGTAAGTGTGGTGAGTGAGTGTAGTCAATGAATAAGTGTGGTGAGTGAGTGTAGTCAATAAGTGTGGTGAGTGAGTGTAGTCAATGAGTAAGTGTGGTGAGTGAGTGTAGTAGATTAGTTAGTGTGATGGGTGAGTGTTTGTAAAATGTGGACTGGGTGGGTCTTTAGGTGGATGATAAGTTGATCGACTGGGTGGTTGATTGACTGGATGGTTGATTGACTGGGTGGTTGATTGACTGAGTGGTTGATTGATTGGTTGGTTGATTGACTGAATGGTTGATTGATTGGTTGGTTGATTGACTGGTTAGTTTTTTGACTGGTTAGTTGCTTCATTTGGTGGTTGATTGACTGGGTGGTTGATTGACTGGGTGGTTGATTGACTGGGTGGTTGATTGAATGGGTGGTTGATTGACTTAGTGGTTGATTGACTGGGTGGTTGATTGACTGGGTGGTTGATTGACTGGGTGGTTGATTGATCGGGTGGTTGATTGATTGGTTGGTTAATTGATTGGTTGGTTGATTGACTGAGTGGTTGATTGATTGGTTGGTTGATTGACTGGTTAGTTTTTGACTGGTTAGTTTATTGATTTGGTGGTTGATTGACTGGGTGGTTGACTGACTAGGTGGTTGACTGACTGGTTGGTTGAATTGTTAGTTGTGTCGGTTGGTCGGGGATGGGGTGGATGGTTGAATGACTGGTCGATTGTCTGAGTGGATGATATGGGGAATGGTTAGTTGGTTAGTTGGCTGAATAGATAGAATAATGGATGGATGGACTGTCTCTCTCTCTTTCTCTCTCTCTCTCTCTCTCTCTCTCTCTCTCTCTCTCTCTCTCTGTGAGTGAGTAAATGATGTACTTTAAACACACATTCCCACAGTCACGTCACTGGTCGGACGTGGACTAAAGTGGATGACGAGTCAAAATGGTAAATATATAGAAGTGAGCCTTAGGAATGTGTTCATTGAAAGTACAGTACACGACACAATAATAAAGTATTCCAATTTCCCGTCATTACTGTTTGCACAAAAAGGAAAAACGACGTGACCCACCCTCCCATATTCCATGAAATACCCAGACTCTCTGTCCTCCCATACTTCCGGACAGTTCAGAACGTGACAACGACCTCAGTTCCCAGGTCTCCATTCCCAGATCTGCTACTGACCTACAAACATAATCTCATCTAGTTGTTTCCCTTCTGTAATTCGCCCAAATTTGCGCCCTCTCTTCGCAGTGCAAGGGTCATTTCACAGTGCCAGACATGGAGTCAATGGTGGTTTTTCTCACACACAAGTTCTTGTGGGAAACCAGCTTAACGTGCTTGTCACACACTTCTGACAGTGTCTGGTATTTTGTTTTGTTTTTGTGGATGATGTCAACCGTGACCGGATTGTTCTAGAAGCTGTTTGCGTCCGTTCAGGTTAAGTGTCCTTACGTCAGTTCGCTAGTTAGGCTACTTCAATGATAAAGGAGGTGGGGGGGGGGTGGGGAGAATCCCGCTGCTGCAAAGTGCTATCTGTCGAAACCACCACATATAAACAGCAGATCCTCCTTGAATGTTGTGTGGCGAACGCAGAGGGCAGATCTCAAATAACCTGTTCAACCACTTCTGGTAGTTATAATTAGTACACTTTAGACAGCCAGACCTGCCAGTTAAACTGCAGTCCCGTGTCTGCAAGTTGGCGGTTTCTGTGGGTTTTGCACCCTGATTTACCCAGTGGTTATTGTAATGTCCAGCTGACTTCATATGGGATGAATTGACTACACACACACACACACGAGCGCACACACATACAAACACACATACAAACGCGCGCGAGCACACACGCACACACACAAACACAATATCCACTCTTCTGTAGCTTGTGCGACGCCCTTAGAAGATGAAAAAGCATCTATGATGAGTGAGACTGAACTTTTGTAGTCAAGTCTGGTGCAATAACATTATCATTATCATCTTTATCATCATCATCATTATCATCATCATTATCATCATCTTCATCATCATCATTTTTTTCTTCCTTTTTCTTCTTCTTCTTCTTCTTCTTCTTCTTCTTCTTCTTCTTCTCCTCCTCCTCCTCCTCCTCCTCCTTCTTCTTCTTCTTCTTCTTCTTCTTCTTCTTCTTCTTCTTCTTCTTCTTCTTCTTCTTCTTCTTCTTCTTCTTCTTCTTCTTCTTCTTCTTCTTCTTCCTCTTCTTCTTCTTCCTCTTCTTTTTTTCTTCTTCTTCTTCTTCTTCTTCTTCTTCTTCTTCTTCTTCTTCTTCTTCTTCTTCTTCTTCTTCTTCTTCTTCTTCTTCTTCTTCTTCTTCTTCTTCTTCTTCTTCTTCTTCTTCTTCCTCTTCTTTTTCTTTTTCTTCAACTCCCTACAACACACCTGGCACTAGAACGTAAACTCTCCGCAACCCACCTGGCACTAGAACATAAACTCTCCACAACCCACCTGGCACTAGAACATAAACTCTCCACAACCCACCTGGCACTAGAACATAAACTCTCCACAACCCACCTGGCACTAGAACATAAACTCTCCACAACACGCCTGGCACTAGAACATAAACTCTCCACATCACAACTGACACTAGAACATAAACTCTCCACAACCCACCAGTCACTAGAACATAAACTCTCCACAACACACCAGTCACTAGAACATAAACTCTCCACAACACACCTTGCACTAGAACATAAACTCTCCACAACCCACCAGTCACTAGAACATAAACTCTCCACAACACACCAGTCACTAGAACATAAACTCTCCACAACCCACCAGTCACTAGAACATAAACTCTCCACAACACACCAGTCACTAGAACATAAACTCTCCACAACCCACCTGGCACTAGAACATAAACTCTCCACAACCCACCTGGCACTAGAACATAAACTCTCCACAACACGCCTGGCACTAGAACATAAACTCTCCACAACACACCAGTCACTAGAACATAAACTCTCCACAACACACCAGTCACTAAAACATAAACTCTCCACAACCCACCTGGCACTAGAACATAAACTCTCTCACAACACACCTGGCACTAGAACATAAACTCTCCACAACACACCTGGCACTAGAACATAAACTCTCTCACAACACACCTGGCACTAGAACATAAACTCTCCACAACACACCAGTCACTAGAACATAAACTCTCCACAACCCACCTGGCACTAGAACATAAACTCTCCACAACCCACCAGTCACTAGAACATAAACTCTCCACAACACACCTGGCACTAGAACATAAACTCTCCACAACACACCTGGCACTAGAACATAAACTCTCTCACAACCCACCTGGCACTAGAACATAAACTCTCCACAACACACCAGTCACTAGAACATAAACTCTCCACAACCCACCTGGCACTAGAACATAAACTCTCCACAACCCACCTGGCACTAGAACATAAACTCTCCACATCACAACTGACACTAGAACATAAACTCTCCACAACACACCAGTCACTAGAACATAAACTCTCCACAACACGCCAGTCACTAGAACATAAACTCTCCACAACCCACCTGGCACTAGAACATAAACTTCCTGCAACAACCTAACCAAAGCCGTAAAATGTATTCGTCAGCAGATTTCAGAGTGGAAAAAAAGTTCAAATTCATTATACACATTTTCTATGTTCATATAAGTGTGTCGTTAAGGAATAATGATAATGTATTATACGCAGTTTTTAATGCCAAAATTTCAAATTTGATGTCGCAATTCCCAGTTAATTAGCATTGTAGACAATATTTCACGGCCCCCACTTAAAACTCCCTGAATATAGATCGCATATATTCCCGCCATTAGCTAGTCCACCCTGGCCAATTGGATTTGATCCTCTCATCTCCCGTTATCTGTAACAGCGGCGATAATCTCGTTTTCCAGGTTACAGTATCGTATCTCGTGTTCCTACACGGACCGACGTCACTCTTTCCTGGTGGCAATTACATCGATCACTCGATCATAAAACCCAGTTTGCTGCCCACAAATGAAAATCTAAGAGATCAAGAGATCTGGTGGCGATGGCCGTTTAGTTATGTGGTGGGTTTGAATCTAGGGCTTTCATCAGTTGAAAAGGGTGCTTTGTCTGATAGATTATTGCTGCTTACTCCAGTCTTTAGGTACTCGAACTGCCCTCTGCCTACTGTGCCTACTAATCGATTCTTGAACCAGTATTTTATTGTTAGTAAGAGCTGGCCAACTTGTTTAAATTACAGTAATAATATCCATAAAATAGCAGAAAAGGGCACAGTTACAATTGACGTCTTTGACGTTGTCATCATTGTTAAGTGTCATGCTAATAAGTATTCACAATCAACATTCGCCTTGATGCATGATTAAGTCTTGATGTATGATTACATCTTGACGTATAATTACGTCTTGATGTATGATTGCGCCTTAATGCATGATTACGTTTTGAAGCATGATTGCGTCTTGATGCATGATTACCCTGTGATGTATGATTACTTCTTGATGGATGATTACCCCTTGATCTATGATTACACCTTGATGTATGATTACCCCTTGATCTATGATTACACCTTGATGTATGATTACCCCTTGATGCATGATTACCCCTTGATGTATTATTATCTCTTGACACATGATCACCCCGAGATGCATGATTACCCCTTGATGTATGATTACCCCTTGATGTATGATTACCCCTTGATACATGATTACCCCTTGATGCATGAATACCCCTTGATGCATGATGGCGCCTTGTATGGGGTCTGTATTTCTATTTTCTACATAAATCTCTTTCTTCTGATAATCATCGCTTGTGGCTTAGGCGTTTATTGGGCATCTGATCGTTTTGCGTTGATTTTGACAGACGTGAAAACATATGTGACGACAGACATCAGAACAGATGTGGCGACAGACGTAACAACAGATATGACGACAGACGTAACAACAGATGTGACGACAGACATGACAACAGATGTGACGACAGACATGACAACAGATGTGACGACAGACATGACAACAGATGTGACGACAGACGTGACAACAGATGTGACGACAGACATGACAACATATGTGACGAAAGACGTGACAACAGATGTGACGACAGACATCAGAACAGATGTGGCGACAGACGTAACAACAGATATGACGACAGACGTAACAACAGATGTGACGACAGACATGACAACAGATGTGACGACAGACATGACAACAGATGTGACGACAGACATGACAACAGATGTGACGACAGACCTGACAACAGATGTGACGACAGACATGACAACATATGTGACGAAAGACGTGACAACAGATGTGACGACAGACATGACAACAGATGTGGCGACAGACATGACAACAGGTGTGACTACAGACATGACAACAGATGTGACGACAAACGTGACAACAGATGTGACGACAGACACAACAACAGATGTGACGATAGACAGGACAATAGATGTGGCGACAGACGTGACAAAAGATGTGACGACAGACGTGACAACAGATGTGACGATAGACATGACAACATATATGACGACAGACGTGACAACAGATGCGACGACATACGTAACAACAGATGTGACGACAGACGTAACAACAGATGTGGCGACATACGTGAAAACAGATGTGGTGATGGACGTGACAACAGATGTGACGACAGACATGACAACAGATGTGACGACAGACGTGACAACAGATGTGTGTGACGACAGACATTAAAACAGATGTGACGAAAAACATGACAACAAATGTGGCGAAAGACGTGACAACCGATGTGGCGACAGACATGAAAACAGATGTGACGACAGACTTGACAACAGATGGGACGACAGACATGACAACAGGTGTAGCGACAGACGTAACAACAGATGTGGCGACAGACTTGACGACAGATGTGGCGACAGACGTGACAACAGATGTGACGACCGACATGACAACAGATGTGGCGACAGACGTGACAACAGATGTGACGACAGACATGACAACAGATGTGACGACAGACGTGACGACAGACATGACAACAGACGTGACGACAGACATGACAACAGATGTGACGACAGACGTGACAACAGATGTGTCGACAGACGTGACGACAGACGTGACAACATATGTGACGACAGACGTGACAGCAGGCGTGACGACAGATGTGACAATAGAATGTTGTGACAGGCGTGAAAATAGAATGTGATGACAGACGTGACAACGGATGTGACAACAGATGTGACGACAGACGTGACAACATATGTGACGAGAGACGTGAAAACAGAATGTGGTGACAGACGTGAAAATAGAATGTGATGACAGACGTGACAACAGATGTGACGACAGACGTGACAACAGATGTGACGACAGATGTGACAACAGATGTGACGAAAGACGTGACAACAGATGTGACGACAGACGTGACAACAGATGTGACGACAGACGTGACAACAGATGTGACAACAGATGTGACAACAGATGTGGTGACAGACTTGACGACAGATGTGGTAACAGATGCGACAACAGCCGTGTCAACAGATGGCAGTAGAACATAATTACCATATACAGAAAAATGTTCTCGCCAGATGGCAGCTCAGCAGAAAGGTCTTCTCGCCAGATGGCAGCTTAACAGAAAGGTGTTCTTGCCAGATGGCAGCTTAACAGAAAGGTGTTCTTGCCAGATGGCAGCTCAACAGAAAGTAGTTCTTGTCAGATGGCAGCTTAACAGAAAGGTGTTCTTGTCAGATGGCAGCACAACATAAAGTTGTTTTTGCCAGATGGCAGCTTAACAGAAAGGTGTTCTTGCCAGATGGCAGCTCAACAAAAAGGTGTTTTCGCCAGATGGCAGCTCAACAGAAAGGTGCTTGAACCGAATACTGCCACAATAAAGAGCTTTATAAGCGATACGTTATGTGTTTACTATAGCCCTATTGCCTATGTATTTTCGGAATGATTACTTTAGTCGTAATTAACTGTAACTTTAACTCTGGCAAAATAAAGTAATTCGCATAACAACGTTTTCCTGAGACGGAAGGAAATCATGCTGCTAAAGAAGATGGAGCGAGTGTCAATTACCGGTCCATGTAACACCTTCTCTCAAGAGTCATCGGAGACGACGGAGATAATTACTGCTGTAGGAGAGAGGAGGATAAAGTCACCCCAGGCAACTCACGCCCGCATCAAAGGACTCACTATGGTGATTGGCGATATTCATTTTTAGAAGTGTCGTTTTCGAATTTCTTTGAAGTATTTTTAAAAATATTTGACAGTGCTTTGACACGGAGATGAAATTATAGCGCAGAAAATGCAGTACTTTGACACGGAGATGAAATTATAGTACAGAAAATGCAGTACTTTGACACGGAGATGAAATTATAGCACAGAAAATGCAGTACTTTGACTCGGAGATTAAATTATAGCATAGAAAATGCAGTACTTTGACACGGAGATGAAATTTTAGCACAGAAAATGCAGTACTTTGACTCGGAGAGGAAATTATAGCACAGAAAATGCAGTACTTTGACACGGAGATGAAATTATAGCACAGACAATACAGTACTTTGACACGGAGATGAAATTATAGCACAGACAATGCAGTACTTTGACACGGAGATGAAATTATAGCACAGAAAATGCAGTACTTTGACACGGAGATGAAATTATAGCACAGAAAATGCAGTACTTTGACACGGAGATGAAATTATAGCACAGAAAATGCAGTACTTTGACACGGTGATGAAATTATAGCACAGAAAATGCAGTACTTTGACACGGAGATGAAATTATAGCACAGAAAATGCAGTACTTTGACACGGAGATGAAATTATAGCACAGACAATACAGTACTTTGACACGGAGATGAAATTATAGCACATAAAATGCAGTACTTTGACACGGAGATGAAATTATAGCACAGAAAATGCAGTACTTTGACACGGAGATGAAATTATAGCACAGACAATGCAGTACTTTGACACGGAGATGAAATTATAGCACAGAAAATGCAGTACTTTGACACGGAGATGAAATTATAGCACATAAAATAGAGTACTTTGACACGGAGATGAAATTATAGCACAGAAAATGCAGTACTTTGACACGGAGATGAAATTTTAGCACAGAAAATGCAGTACTTTGACGACAAAAGTTGTCTCGCTGCAATGTCCCTTACCTTCTTCCTGATGCTGATTGTGTGTAAATTGTAAAACCAATTTCTGACAGTAGTGGAAATTGTAGCACAAAACACTACAGTTCTTTGGCAAGAGTTTAAATCAGATCAGGGAAAACTGCAGAACTTTGACAATTAGTTAAAATCGCAGTAAAGCTTTAGATATCATGGCTGGCCATGGCAATAAATTCACACTGACATACACAACATCCAACATAGGACAATAAATTCACACGGATATACACAACAGCCAACATAGGACAATAAATTCACACGGATATACACAACAGCCAACATAGGACAATAAATTCACACGGGCATACACAACAGCCAACATAGGACAATAAATTCACACGGGCATACAAAACAGCCAACATAGGACAATAAAATCACACGGACATACACAACAGCCAACATAGGACAATAAATTCACACGGGCATACACAACAGCCAACAGATGGTTATACATTCGTACTAAAATACACATCAGCAAACAAAAGGTGATAAATTCACATTGTCATACACAACAGCCAACGTAGGACAAAAAATTCACACGGACATACTCAACAGCCAACAGTTGATAAGACATTCAGACTAGCATACAAAACAACCAAATGATGAAACGACATTCACACTGACATATACAAAAGTCAACAGATGGTAGGACATTCACACTGACATATACAAAAGTCAACAGATGGTAGGACATTCACACTGACATATACAAAAGTCAACAGATGGTCGGACATTCACACTGATATTTACAAAAGTCAACAGATGGTAGGACATTCACACTGACATATACAAAAGTCAACAGATGGTAGGACATTCACACTGACATATACAAAAGTCAACAGATGGTAGGACATTCACACTGACATATACAAAAGTTAACAGATGGTCGGACATTCACACTGATATTTACAAAAGTCAACAGATGGTAGGACATTCACACTGACATATACAAAAGTCAACAGATGGTAGGGCATTCACACTGACATATACAAAAGTCAACAGATGGTAGGACATTCACACTGACATATATAAAAGTCAACAGATGGTAGAACATTCACACTGACATATACAAAAGTCAACAGATGGTAGGACATTCACACTGACATATACAAAAGTCAACAGATGGTACGACATTTACACTGACATACTGACAGGCAACAGATGGTAATATATTCACACTGACATACACTATAGCCAACAGACGGTAATACATTCACTCTGGTATTTACGACATGCAACATAGGGTAATACATGCACTCTGGCATATACGACAGGCAACAGAGGGTATTACATTTATTCTGGCATTTACGACAGGCAACAGAGGGTAATACATTTACTCTGGCATTTACGACAGCCAACAGAGTGTAATACATTCACTCTGGCATATACGACAGGCAACAGAGTGTAATACATTCACTCTGGCATATACGACAGGCAACAGAGGGTAATACATGCACTCTGGCATATACGACAGGCAACAGAGGGTAATACATTCACTCTGGCATATACGACAGGCAACAGAAGGTAATACATGCACTCTGGCATATACGACAGGCAACAGAGGGTAATACATGCACTCTGGCATATACGACAGGCAACAGAGGGTAATATATTCACTCTGGCATGTACGACAGGCAACAGAGGGTAATATATTCACTCTGGCATATACGACAGGCAACAGATGGTAATACATGCACTCTGGCATATACGACAGGCAACAGAGGGTAATATATTCACTCTGGCATTTACGACAGGCAACAGATGGTAATACATCCACTCTGGCATATACGACAGGCAACAGAAGGTAATACATTCACTCTGGCATTTACGACAGGCAACAGATGGTAATACATTCACTCTGGCATTTACAACAGGCAACAGATGGTAATACATTCACTCTTGCACATACGACAGGCAACAGATGGTAATACATCCACTCTGGCATATACGACAGGCAACAGAAGGTAATACATTCACTCTGGCATTTACGACAGGCAACAGATGGTAATACATTCACTCTGGCATTTACAACAGGCAACAGATGGTAATACATTCACTCTTGCACATACGACAGGCAACAGATGGTAATACATGCACTCTGGCATTTACGACAGGCAACAGATGGTAATACATGCACTCTGGCATTTACGACAGGCATCAGAGGCCAAAGGTTTGATTTGTGCACAAATGTCGGCAAACACGAGGGGAGGTTTTTCTAAAATCGCATGTTTTTTGTCGGTGCTCTAGCCAGAGAATATGGGATGGTAATTCACGTGGTCAGTGAATGTCCAGCTTTCCCTCCAATTTAGCCAAGCAATTGTTTGTTGATTTCTCCAGCCTCTATAATCAGTGGCTTCTAAATTCACTAACAAGAGAGTTCGTGTCTGGTGTTGTAAATACATGAAACAGAAACCAGTGGATCCCATTCTAGCAGTTTGTGTTTGTTAGGAAAGGCATGACATAGATTAGTGCATTGTGCACGCAC